GAAGGTGTGTGAGATTGAAAATAGGTAAAAGTCATCGCAAATACAAAAGCCAATTTTTAAAAAATAGTGAATTAAAGTGAAAGTTTGCAAAAGCGCAACAGAAACATTATTTGAGGCATATTTACCGGTACATTCACACCACACTTCCATCCTTTACTAATCAAGCAGCTACAAAGCTCTAGCGAAGTTATATAGGGCAAACTAGGCCAGAAGAAGTTACGATATTTTAAAGACCTGTTGTATTTTCAGTTAGGAATATTGCCAATCAATTTGCGCATTCTCGAATGTTCTTTATACCTATTTCTGATAGCTAAACGTTATCAAGCCAAGCCCGATTTAAAAAGTATAAATAATTAATAATAAACAGAATGTATGAGGACCGAAATTATGTGGCTTTAGTATGGACGCGGTAATGATCATTTTTGTTTGCTAATTCAGGTACTTGACAGGGGAAATAAAATAGTTGGCGTGAAAAAAGGAAAAATAGTTTAATCCATGCTGTAAAAGTGCCAAGTGCCAGGAAAAGGACTAAAAAAACAAAAATGTTTAGAATGAAAACAGGTGAAAATATAGATGAACAGAGAATTTTCCGAAAGAAAATATCGACGTTACTGGGCTCCTCTCATTCTATATTATCCAGTGTCGTTATAAAATGTGGATCAAAAAGATCATGGACTAGGTTCGGATGAGTTAGAGACAATATAAAGCACATTTGGATAGCTTGTTGCAGTCTACTACCATGGTAGAATGTGAAAAACCCCGAATAAAATCTGCAAGAGAATAGCATAGCTGACTATATTAAGTTAAAATCATAATCAGCCTAGGTAACATAAAGTGATTAAAGTATTAATGACGATGCAAAGCCAGGTCGATACCATTCTTTCACCTTCGTTAGCGGTGCCAACGAAACCTAGGCTAGGTTAAAATTGAATTCAACCCTAGATGATAAAACCGTTAAATTCAATGGAATTGCGGGGCCTACTCGTAGCACTACAATAAAAACTTCACTATCAACCCCAAAATCACCTAATTCTACCTAAAGTTATCAAGTTTTTATTCAAGCATTACTGATAGTCACGAAGCATGCTTATTTACGATAATAAATGAGTAAAGACCTTATAGACCTATCTGCGATTGAGGGTTAGCCTAGAGTAAGATTAAAGCTCAACTCGAACGGAGCAGTGTGACAAATCAAAATGAAGGCACTATGTAAATTAAATGTAGAAATGTTTGAAAAACCTATTAAAACCGACTAACTAAGATTAATTACCATAAATAAGGATTAAACAAGGTCTATTGAAGGAAAGTAAGATAGAAACCCTAGGACACTCCATTCTGGTAAACAGGTTAATTCAGTGACATGAATCGGGAGGAAACTATAAGATGAGTGGACAAAAGCCTATAGAAAAAGACGGGATTTCTGTGCCACATTAGCCACTAGTTTCATTGAAGCAATTTATCATTTACTTGATTCAAAATTAGAGCCAATAAACAAGCAGAATATTATAGCACTAGCCTATTCTCAATGCGGGTAATGAAAGTAAAATAGCATATTCTTCTATAGAGTTGGTAGAACTTAAAAATTACTTACTTCAGGGATTAGAACAATCAGAGCACTGGAAACAAGAGCTCCGATGGCAACGGCCACCATGACGGAGAGAAACAGATCATAGTAGCGAAGACCTTGCAGAGATAAAAATACTAGTCCAAAACAAGCGCAAAGATTGATCAAAGTCACGGTGAGAAAACCATATCCGATGGCTAAAGATGAGTTGAAGGAAGAGAAAATAAAGTAAAGGAATAAGAATGAAACGAACAAACAGAGAGAGGGAAAAATTAAGGTCAAATATGAACCCGTTCATTTAAAAGTGGTTCCACAGTATATTTTAGTGAGACCCTACAAATATTGGCCCGACAAATACGAATCGAAATTTGATATCGTCTACTTAGGTGTGTGAACCAACGAAGGAATGATATAAGAAGTGGACTTAGTACATACCCAGACGCTTCGGCGGCATCGTTAGTGAGCCTTACCAGTATTAGCAACACACTAAAACTCTTCAAAGAGACTAGTGAAGTCGATCCTTTGACCAACTGTGGGCTAAACAGTTGTGGTATCTCTCCCTCTGTCCTGGGCTACTCGCCTATCCTATACCCTCGTATCACCCCTTTAATAGCACAACTTCTTACTTGTTTATCTAGACCTTTTTGAAATCTATTCACACACCCCCCTGGTTTCCTCATACCTCCCATTGCTAGGAGTGTTGACCCAAGGCTGCGGTTTATCCACAATACTCTCTCTTCGGGTCCTATCAGAGTCCCCTCTTGCTCCGTAGGATCCTTCCCTTATCTGCCTGTTTCAGTGATTTCACTTCATCGCTGCCACCGTATCCGTGCTACGTTCAAGAAGTTGTTCTACACTCTGCTTCAAGCTTTTGATAGTACGTATACACCACCCTTACTGAGCAAGCCTCTAAAGTCTGGATTCTCGATTGATATGGCAAAGTAACTTGACTGTGCAGATTCCCTCAGCGGCATGTGCACTTAGTAAATCTTGTAGTCAAGCCCTTCCTTCATGGATCACGTCTATGAGAAAACTTATCTACTACCGTTTCTCTTGCTCTTCTATGACATTATATTGCATACCAACCCCACAAATATCATTGTTCTACTTTATATGAATAGACTCACTGTAGACGTCTTTCTTGGTTTCTGATTGTTCCTCTCTGATCTCCTTGTAATTTCTTTTACTAAAATTAAAAGTATTATTTTTACCCAGTCGTCTTCTTTTTGCTGATGTTCCTGCTCTTTGAGCATCTCCGAGTTTGTTTAGGCAGTATGCAAAGGTTTCGCTAATCCTGCCTTCTTCAAGTCTCCTGTTCATTAGGTCTTTTTCGGTCAAGATACCAATGGCTTCTCGTATCCTACATTTTCTCATATTTCGAACATATGAAGCCAGCCTTTCTGTCGATTTCGGATCTTTCAGTGTCAATTTTTCTGCAGAGTCTTTGGTATTTCTTGATTCGCAAGCGAATTTTTCTTCCTGTTTTACCAATATACTTCTGCTCACAGTTACCGCATTTGAGGCTAGACTCCCGAGCAATCCAGTTTTTCAACCTCCTCGTGTAGCGTCGGCAGGCTTGTGAAGTGTTGTAAAATCTAATAATTTTAATTTTAGGAAAAGATATTAAAAGGAGACCAGAGAGGAACAATTCGAAACCAAGAGAAGACGTTTACAGTGAGTCTATTTAAATCAAGTAGAACCATCCGATTTGGGGTTTGGCACGCAATAGAATGTCATAGAAGAGCAAGAGAAAGGGTAGTAGATAAGTTTGCTAATAGACGTGGTCCATGAAGTAAGGGCTTGACCACGAGATTTACTAAGGTCACATGCCACAAAGTGATGAGAGAATATGCAGCATTAAGTTAGTTTTCCATACTAATTGAGAATTCAGACTTTTGGGGCTTGCTCAATATGGATGGTGTATACGTACTATCAAAAGCTTGATGCCGTGTAGAACAACTTTTTGAAAGTATCCCGGATACGCTGGCAGCGATGGAGTAAAATCACTGAAACAGGCAGATAAGGGAAGGATCCTACGGAGCAAAAGGGTACTTTGATAGGACACGAAAAGAAAGGATTGTGGATAAACCGCAGCCTTGGGTCAACACTTCCGGCAGTGGGAAGGATGAGGAAACCAGCGGAGAGTGTGAATAGATTTTAAAAAGGTCCAGATAAACATGTAAGAAGTTGTGCTATTGAAGGGGTGATACGAGGATATAGGACAGAGGAAGAGATACCACAACTGTTTATCCCACAGTTGGTCAAAGGATCGACTTCACTTGTCTCTTTGACGAGTTTTAGTGTGTTGCTAAGAGTTGCAATGCTCACTGACGATGCCGCCGAAACTTCTGGGAATGTACCAAGTCCACGGTGTGACTCCGGACAAGATGCGTTCCTGCCAATAGGACAAAGTTGCAAAAACAAGGTCAAGCAAACGAAAGGAGATCACGATCATACAGAAGGCCACACCATCTCCATCTTCATATCTTCGGCTATTATGTTAATATAGCCTCTTATTTATGCACCGGCAGGTCTCTTCCACAGTAATACTACCACATGATAACAATGCATTATCACAGCATAAACTGGATGAGTGGTCCGAATAAGCTAGAGAAGAAGGAATAATCCATCAAAGTTTGGATCTCTATAAATAATCCAAATTCCCTGCTTCCGCAATAATTCAACGATTTTTTGCTAAAACTGACAGAAAGGATACACCAAGAACTTTATAGAGGTGTACAACCCCTTTCTTGTCTTAAATTTCCATTTCATCTGATCATAATTTTTTTAAATGTGCACAAGTTATTAATTAATTTCATCTGCAAGCACCTAATGTAGGCATGATCTAGCTAACCAAAATAAGATATAAGAAGTGGGATTTAAGCAGGATACGTTTCTTTATTTAATGTTTTAGTTAATTCTTTTCATAAGCGATGGTTACTAGCTCTAATTATGCCTGAAACATGATAGATGAAAGCCCAATACAGATTCAGCCCTTGTGCAGAGCAATGAGACAAAGTCTTCGTCTTAATCCAGCGTTCACAAGTCTAAAAGCAACCCTGCCGTTGCCGAAATCAAAGGTACGCCAACATCGAGTTAACTAGACGACGGTAGCAGATTCTGTTTACGATGCAGCAGTTTGAAATCGCTATGAAGTTAAGGATAATGCAGCTTATGTAATATCCTTTTTCAATTTCGGTGAGAAAAGACAGGGGTATTGTCTGCAATAGGACAGGCATCATCAGAGCTGGATCATATTCTAACAAAAACCTCGTGCAAACGCTAAATCAAAAGGACTAACCAACTATTCTATAAATGCCATATATACTGACAGCAACAGATCATTTATCAGAAGAAAATAGATAATTCATGATACGAATCAATCAATTATGAATCTAAGTACTTAGAAGAATGCATAATAGCAGTCTTAGGTCAGAAACGTTGAGCAAGGGTATTCATGGGAAACTAATATATTGT